TACATACACACACACAGACAGGATCGTCCCAATATGCGTTTTTGCAATTTGCATATAGGCAAAAACCATAAAAATGAGGGTTCCATTCAAGCAATAAGGTTCGGCACAAATGCATTGGAGATCCTCACCGACTTATTATGCGTTTTGGTAACGTATTGTCACGGGGTCTGTGTGGGTGTGTGTGTGTGTGGAACACATACAAAACGCATATTGTCATGGGGTCTGTTTGGGTGTGTGTGTCTGTGGAACGCATACAAAATGCATATTGTCACGGGGTCTTCTCTGTGTGCGTGTGTGTGTGTATGTGTGTGTGTGCTTGTGTGTGTGCGTGTGTGCGTGCGTGTCTCACATTTTGTCCCGCACTTTCAACTCGGGAACCACAAAAGCTTGGCGGCTGAAATTTTAGTGTAGTGTTCCCGCCAACGAGTGACGCAGAAAATTTAAATTCAGCCTTCCCGTACCCGCGGGTGACACGTACGACCCCGTAAAAGTTTTTCGATTAAAATCAGTATCTCGGGAATCACGGAAGGTAGAAGGCTGAAATTTTGTGAGCATGTCCCCCGACCATGTGCTACCCAGAAAATTTAAATTCAGTTTTCTTCTGCCCGAGAGTAAAAAGTACGGCCCCGTGAAAATTTTTGATGGGTAAATTATTATCTCGGGAACCACGGAGTTTAGGGAGCTGAAATTTTAGGGTAATGACCCCCTGCCCACGCTCAACCCTGCCTACCCGCGCCCTCGGGTATCACGTATGGCCTCGTGAAAGTTTTTGCGGATAAATTATTAACTAGGGAATCACGGAAAGATATTCACCCTTCAAGGTTTCCAATTCAGCTTTCATGCGCAGATGCGTGGAATTTCCAATTATTTTCCAATGTTCCAACTATTTTTGCATAGACTAAAGTACAAAGCAGTGAAAACATTAATAGGCAATCGTTCAACGGGCTGAATTGCACAAAACACATTATCGCGCCGGCTAGTCTGGTGCGCGTTGCTATTCATTTATTTAATTCACTACGCGGAATTTCAGGTATTCGGCGAGAGCCTGAACGAAGGTCGCGACAGTGCAGATATGGGCAATCAGGCTCGCTACACACATCGGCTATTCCTGAAGCACACATCACTGGAACAAGCATTTAATGCTCTCGATGCCAATGGTTTCCGGCTGATGACTGCTTCGGCGCATGGCCCATCCATTCAGCGTGATCCAGTCCGAGTGGACGAAGAACGATTCATGCATTATACACAGTTCGTCTTTGAGCGGCGATGATTACCTCCGCTAAGATATGAGGAGTTTCGCAGATCCCCTCACCCATCCACTACGCAAGTGTGCGAAAGTTTTTTCCAAGACTGCTTATCTACTAGAGATAGAGGTTCTCCCAGAAGGCGGAACAGCAGTTTGAGTGCTCACTGCTGCTTTATGATTTTTGACCTTATTTAGAAATATCTGCTTTCTTCTTCTTCACCCCCCCCC